CCAGTGGGGATTAAATGCCACCAACAGAAAGCTCTATTTATGTGAACAAAATTATAAAAATGTCATGTCAGTACAGTGTTGCATGACCGCGCAACTGCCATTCAAAGTGTGACAGCGCTGAAAGCTGAATATTGGCCTGGGCAGGAAGGGGGTAAAAGTGCCCAGTAAGCAAGTTGTTAGGTAATACCAAAGTTTTGGAGAAAAAAAAATCAGGCCCATAGTGGAAATATAAAAATTGGTCTGGTCCATAAGGGCTCATTCACATGTTTAAAGTGCTGTACAGTGTGTATGTTTTCAAGTGTTAAGGCAGCCCGTTCAAGAACATACATGCACAATTATATTTCATAAAATGGATTTCCACTGTTTTTGATGATGCAACACACCACAATGCACAGCAGTGGGTTGGAGCTATGTTGCCTTAGTGTGTTGGGGTCAATAAAAACAAATGTTCACCACACCTCCACGGTGTCAATGGGTCCTTATGGACCAGAACAATTCAGAAAAAATGTTCCACTCATGTAGGCGAATTTAGCAGTTGAGCATTATTTCATTTCAATGGCCAGAATAAATGATTATTCTGGCCAATTAAAAAGTGCTTGATGTACCTAAACGTGTTACAAGCTTTAAGAGTCTTCTTCTTCCAAAATGCTGCTGCCAGGAGGAAAGGCATCTAGGAAAGAAACTAGCAAAATGTCCAGTGTGCATGAGGCCTAAAACTGATGCAGGTACATTATTCATGTTTGGTTGTGGTACTAAAAGCCATCATGCTGAAAAACAATACTAGTGCCAGATTTCTGGAACAAAGTATACATAGGAATGAACAAACAAAACTAATATTCAAGTGCATTTTCTGCATCCACAAGCATCGTTGCAGTATTATAGGACAGAGTCATGTGTATTTTCCAAGAAAATTCTAATTTAGTTATGCAAGGATCTTTCAATAAACTGTAAAAATCTCATCTACCAGAAAGACGGTTGGTTTAAAATAAAAAGTCTGGCTAGCCCTAGGTTCACACCTAAGCGTTTTCTGCAGCGTTTTGCAGAAACGCAGGAAAATCCATTTCACATGATTTCCTATGGGACATGTTCACATCTGTGCGTTTTCACCTGGGGCATTTTTTGGAAAGGGTCGGGGATTTTTTTTTAACGCAAAACGTTGCGTTTTTGGTTCTATAGACTTCTATGGAAATGCTGCAGAAAAGCATTTATTGCATTTTTTATGTGTTCTTGATGCGTTTGCATTTTAAATCTGCCTAGCCACAAGAAAAATAAAAAAAAAAATGTAAAAAAAAAACCCATCTGCAAAACGCATCAAAAATGCAATGCAAAACGCAATGAAGAAACGGCTCAACGCAACCTGTATAGATGAGAACCTAGCCTTACATTGTGTTACGTGTGTGGATGCACATATGCGCATTGTACAATGAATTGTAGAATCAGCAAAATGTATCATCTGCAGTGTGAGGGATCATCTGATTGAATGGGTGGTACACATATGTGCATTTTGTCTGATTAATAAAATCTGAAACAAAGATATAACGGTGTGGGTTGCAGATGTATTACAAAACTCCTTCTATGTAACCTGCATCTCAGCCCTGCCCTGCTTGTAGTGTGATTGGGTCAGGGAAAGGATTATCTGATGGACCCTATAGTAATGACCTTACCCTCTTGCAGCTGCGGCACTATGCTTTCAATTAGCCCATTCCTGAGAGTACTCAGGTATATAAGCCATAGTGAGGCTTCATATGGTATGCCAGGGATTGTGGAAAATACTACTTTGTGGTAAGTGGGAGGGCAGGTGAATGCTTGGGTGTTACAGAAATATGTTGCTGTCCTGATAGATGTAGAAAGCTTTGATTTGGCTTCCTTTCCAATGCCTATTATACTGGCTTTATTAGACCCTGACCTCCCTGCTCTGTAATACTGCTGATTGTTAAGGACTACATTTTCAGTTGCCAGTTTTCCTGCATCTTAAAATTGAATGATTGGCAAAACTTTTTTCCATTTTGGAAGTGTAAGGGAGGGTTCTTTCACACCCCCCCCCCCCCCCCACCACCATTTTTGTTTTTCTTTTCCCCTGTGTCCTAGTGTGGATATTTCCCTTTATCTCCTGTCCCATAGCTAAATGGGAAGCAAGAGGAAATCCCTGTAAACCAATGGAATTCCTTGGGGGTCCCCATTGGAAGACTGCCCCTCCAACTTTCTGGGGATATCCCACCCAAAATGTAGGGTGGTGTTTTTTTGACTTTCAATAATGGTAAACAGGGGAAATGAAGGGTGAATCTATTTTAATGGGGGCATAGACGGCAATAAAACAGGTGTTCTAATCCCTCTCCCCTTTATCCAAAACTTAAAAAAACAAAAGTGCCTTTTAGTTACCATCTACTCCTAAGCCTCCTACCCCCCTGGAAAGCTTTCTGGTTACACCTGGGCTGCCAAATTGTTCTGTGTGCATGGATATGGCTTCTGATCATTCAGGAGCCAAGAACCTGAATGCAAAGCCCTGATTTTTGAAGTCTAGTTAGCTATCTCTACTGAATCTGTGCCATATTGCAGAGTGGTCCCTTGCCTCCTCTTCTGGAAGTCCCCCAGTGGTGCTGGCTGCTCTTGGTGCCTCCCTAGTAAGCTGTGTGCTATGGGAGCACTCATGTGGGTGTTCTCCTTGGCTGTGTCCATAGATGTACAGTGCCAGTAAGCCATGCCCCTACTCCCTCTCCAGTCGTTTGATAGCAGCAGGAGCTTGTGGCTTTTGCTGCCCTCAATGTCTCCTGTGAGACCAGGAAGTGAGTGGTGCTGCACCCAAGACAGTGCTGGAGCCGAGAGGAAGCATGTATGTGTTTTTTTTTTTTTTTTTGGTTTTTTTTTTTTTTTTTTTTTTTTGAAGTGTGGGGGACAGTTAGTGGGGTGTCTATTACCCAAATGCAAGAAGGGGAAAGTCTGACTTTAGGACCACTAAGTGGAGTTCAAACCTATGAACGTTCTGCCACTGATACTTCAATGGTTTTAAGGAAGCCCATAGACCTTTTATAAATTGATCTTCATAATGACATTGCATCCAATTCCTGACCTTTCTAGTAAGATGTTTGATCTTCTTTAAAGCATAATGTTACACCTGATAGACCAATACATCCAGTCTGTTTAAAAACCACAAAGTGTCCTCTAACGTGGTTGGTGGGCTGACCACTCATGGGGCCCCTGGGCAATAGGGGATCATGGGGTCCCTGTGTCCTCTCCCACACCCAAAAAAGCCTATGGAAGGTACCAGGGGCATCTCATGGTGTCCCCTATTGACCTCGGGCAATGCCTGAGTGCCCGAATGGTCAGTCTGCCCCTGGGTGGACTGTACGCAGCTCTTTCTGTACAGAAGTTTGACATGTGCTGGACACCACCTTCCCTTCTGTCTGTTCAGAGCTACAGTGGGGACTACACTACTGTATTATTGACCAGGTAGGGGATATGTTGGACTGCTATACAGACCAATGTGCTCAGTGCCTCAGTCTCTAGCTGGAGCCTCCAGACTAGGAATGAAGTGTAGGGGTTTTGTTTGTTTTTTGAGCTTCTGTGAAGCCTGAGTTTCTTTGGATTACTTTAAAGTGGAACTTCAATCTCTCAATCAACAGACTATTTTTAGTCTTTCTGCTGCAAGCATTACTAAATGTATGGGAAAGTATATCATTTACTTTTTCTAAACTATATTAGATTCCATTACTTCTGGTTTCTGGCCTGGGCAAATTATGTCAAACATCCCAGGGGTTTTCAGGAGGCTTTCTCAGCTAGGCACACCCTCTTGCTTGAAGTAAATGCTATATTAATCATCTTCCATTTCTCAGGATGGCCATAACCAGAAATGTTAGTGAGGGGGGTTCAAAGTTTTTATTTTACGGGGGAGTGTGGGGACAAGGGTGGAAGGGAGAGTTTCATTTGAAAATGAAATGGTGTTAGTGGTTCTCGGATGCCGTGTAGTTCCGCTTTTGAAGATGGTGACTGCAGAGCTCAAGATTAATTCTAATGGAAGCTTCATTTACACTATGATGATCAGTACTGAATATGCTTAAAGGAGAACTCCACTCAATTACCATTGACCTAATCCTCACTGCTAGCCATAGGAAATGTCTTTACTTAATAAAATTTATTGAAAGAACACAAAAAAATTAACTGTTTAAAGTGACTGCAATCCAATGTTCGGATAAGAGTGTATCAATGACTTGCAAGTCAGTGGCAGTTGTACACTAGCAATTAGGGTTTTTTGTTTTGTTTTTCTCTCCCCCCCCCTTATGCCTGTGCTCTAGTGTGCAGGTGCAACTACAAGCTCCAAAAGTCTGAATAAGGCCTGTTTCACATTAGTGCTTCCTGTATTTGCTCAGGCACATCAGCTCATTCTTTTGAATGGGCTGCTGTGCTGAATGTACCACACAAAATGCACCTTTTCAAAAATTTATCAGTAGGGAAACTGCATGGTCTTTTTGACCATGCAGTTACCACACCTGTAATTGTGCTGAGATGCATGGGGGTGTCAGTCCTGCATGTCTCAAGAGCAGCATAACATGAATACTGGTGCAGCCTAATGTGAACCTAGCCTGAGACTACTTTTACACCAATAACTGAACAACCTAAAAAGCACCTCAGCAAAAAAGTTGTGCTGGATATTGAACATTTGTTACTTTGCAGTTGGCTGCATGGCCTTAACTATTTGCTATTAACCCTCATTGACCACTATTCAATTGTGTAACTTTGGACCCGTGACTTCCATACCACTCTGCATTAAACTTTCATCCTGTTTATATAGTAAATCTTGATCACGCACTACCTCTAAACTGCCCACTTCATCCACTCTGACCTGATTGCCTCTAATCTAAAACCAGGAATTCAGATCTGTCTGCTTCTGGGATCTGTGGACTGCCCATTTTTCTGTGTAGGGAAAATGAAGAAGTGACTGGAAATAGGGAGGATTTTGTCAATGTTATAGTTTAATTGGGTTTTTTCTTTGTAGACATTTAAAGATGTCTGGCCGTGGAAAGAAGGTCCAAAAGTCTGCAGCTGGCAAGTCTTCCAGGTCGGCTAAGGCAGGTCTCCAGTTCCCAGTAGGCCGTCTCCATCGCTTTCTGAAGAAGGGAAACTATGCAGAGAGGATTGGCTCTGGAGCTGGGATCTATTTGGCAGCCACTCTAGAATACCTGTGTGCTGAGGTCCTGGAGTTGTCAGGAAATGCAGCCAGAGACAACAAGAAATCCCGAATCTTGCCCAGACATGTCCAGCTGGCTGTCAGGAATGATGAGGAACTGGCCAAGCTGTTTGTTTGGTGGTGTCACCATTGCACAAGGTGGAGTCTTGCCCAATATTCAAGCTATTCTGTTGCCAAAGAAGTCCACGAAACCCTCTCATGAATCCAAACTTGCAGAATCTCAGGAACTTTAAATATTTACTTTTTAAATTGACTATTTATTGATGGCTTTGTATTTTGCTGTTTTTTGTATACTCATTAAAACTTTTTTCTAACACTGTTGTGACTACTTTCCTACCTAACTTGGGGTATAACTTCTAAGTGACTATTTTGCAAGCTATATTTTGGCTTTTTGTAAAGTGGGTTGCTGCCTTTGCTTGGGTTAACTTCTAGGTATTCCATACTGCGTCCACACACTGTACTGTTCAGTCTTGCAAATCTACATGGGTCTCCCATGAAGTTCTCATAGTCTGTCCAATCAAGCTCGGCTAGAATCTCTATTTGGCAAATACTGTGAACTTCTCACTCCACCACTCAGGAAGTCTCCAAGTAGATGTGTGGACAGTATAGCTGTCAAGCACTTGGTGCACAATTGGCAAAGTGGAGAGGAGTTGCGCAGATATGGTCGGTTTTCAATTGCCCTTCCATTTAGGGCACAAGGAGATTTCCAAGACAGGAACTTACACAATGTCTAGAGCAGGGAAGAACTAGAAACTTTGGCTTGAGAACAACTCATCAACTGTCCCTTTTCATGAGGAGTTGGTTGCACTTGGTGTGCAGCAATAATTGATTACCAGGAAGGTGGGTCTTAGGCTTGCAATACTCTGCTAGGGGTCTCCAAACTTTTGTAAACATAGGGCAACTTAATGTCCTTCAGACTTTAGGGGGGCTGGACTGTAGCCCATGGGAGTGGAAATTTTCCTGGCTGGTGGGAGTAAACATTGCCACATTTGGCATTGATTGAGGGTGGGGAGAGGGTGCACCATGGTTGGTGTCAGTTGGCAGAGTAGTGTCTGTGGGAAGAGAACCTGCTTTTGTGGGTTGCTCTGTCAGCTGTCCTGCCCAACACCACCATTTTATTGAAGAGTTGAGTGGGGGAATTTGTTGGCTGAACAGCTGCTGCATCCAAGCAGGTGCAAACGCTTTAGTGATTTCCACATGTATTAATTTGCATGTGACTACCCCCTTGGGGCATGCCCTCGGGCTGTGCCCAAGTTTCCAAATGGTCAGTCAACCCCTGAGGTCACTGAATGGAATATGTAGCTACATGAAAGGCATCTGTGGAACAGGGGTGGACTGACCATTTGGAAACTTGGGCACTGCCTGGGGTCAGTAGGGGGCCCCATGAGATGCCCCTGGTACACTTTTTTTTTTTTTTTTTTTTTTTTTTTTTTCCCCCCCCCCCCCCCCCCCCCCCTCCATAGGCTTTTTAGTTTGGGCAAGGACACAGGGGTCCCATGAGTCGTCAGTTTGCCCCTGCTGTGGAAAGAATGACCAGAACAGGAAATCTGTACTTGCACTGAACATCTATTGCTTGGGGACATGCTGCATTTTCAGCCAAGTTATTGGTTTTGTTCAATTTCCAGGCTGTTGGATTGTTTGCGAACATTGCAGGCATGCTTCACTGCCTACCTGTCTTCATATGATTCTGTCCTGTTCCTCTCCTAGTTTATGTGCTATTCTGTTTTCCCATGCCATTGTCTACCTTAGGAACAATGCCAGGAAACTACCCCACTTGTTATCATTCCTGCTGTCCTGTGCATTTAAATTAAACTGCCAGGTACAGCAGATCCTGGTGCCAAGCCCTTACAAGGAGCCCTAGACTGAACAGCTCCCTGCACAATTTATGGGAGAGACCAGATGGGATGGGCTAGGCTAGAAGACATGTTGGGTGGTGAGAGAGAGCTGTTACACCAACCAATGTGCAATTATATATACATGTAAAACCCCCCCCCCCCCCTTAGGGGTTGCTGAGGTTTGGGTCCCCCTACAACACTGCACACCCAGGCAACATGCATTTCCTACCACACCTACATGCTGGAGTTAGTAAATAGTCCTTGAGCCTGGTTTTGATGTTTTCATGAAGGGGTTTTGAACTTGGATGGGGTTGAGGGATGCATGGAATGCCCAAGGGAACTGCAAACTTGAGGACAAAACTCCTTTTAGCAACTATGTACAGATATGGACAAAATTTGATCTCTTCTGAGAGCATTCCAGCTCTCTGGTGTACCTCCTCAGACCCAAGATGAATCCTCCTCTTCACCTGCCTGAGGGTATCCCTGGGCAAGGGGACCCAGAAACTGCTGCTTAGGAAAACAGTCCCAGATGAGAAGCTAGTTGGGTTTTTCCATCTGACCACTCACTCAGTCCTCTCTTGTGAGCTTGGTGGCTGCCTTTCAGCTCCTGCCTGTAGGTAGGCCCCTTTCCCAGGATCCACACTCTAGACTTCACTCCATCTTTCACTCGAAACTTGCTGATCAGGCTCTCTCACACTTAAGGGCTGCCCTGACCCAATGCCAAGCCTCATGCCTGAGTATTGGTCAGAGTCCCTTGAGTATGCAGATCAGCCCCTCCTCAGCGTCACCCACTGCCTTACAAAAACTTTTCAAGCTTCCAGAACAGGAGGAGGTATCAGGGAACTTACCTGCAGAGCCCTCAGCCCTGGCCTAGAGTAACCTGGCTGACTCATCCCAGGCTGCTACACAACCTCTATTAAAAAACTAGTTCCCCCTAGCTAAACTTGAGGGACACTACATACATACACACCCATTGTGGTGACCCATAGCAACATGGTGATTGCTGAGATAGCTAATATCCTGTAAAGCTGGCCATACACTAGTAGATTTTTAAACAAATATTTGTACGAAAAGTCTCAGGACGGTCAATGACTTGATGAATGTTGTTCAAAACATCTTAATTTCTGTTGCTTTAAGGGCTGTTTCACACTGGGATTGCATGGGAACAAGTGTGTTCCTGTGTGGTTCCATGTATTTGAATGGGCTACAAAATGTACTGGACTGCAAAAAATTACTTTTAAAGTGCACTATACCAACTGCATGGTACTGTAGTACCATGCCTTTTGGTGCTTGCAAATACACTTGCTCTGTGCAAAACCACTACTCAGAGAAGTTAGGTTTAACATGTTTGTTATTTTAAAACAAACAACAACAAAAAAAATAAGCTTTAATAACACTTTGGCATGAAAAGTTGTCTAAGAAAATTCTGCTAGTGTATGGACAGATTGTGACACTGCCTAGTCACTCAGATTTGCTTAATTTAGGAATGCGTCCGCTGTATTAATTCATTCACCCCTAATGAGCTGCGAAGGTACACCAAGGTGTCATGGCACCCTGGCTGAGAAACACTGGGCTATGGGACTCGTACTTTGACTAGAGCAGTGCACAGAACATCAACTAATATGACCTGCCTGTTCCAAACAAATGGAAGGGAGAGGAAAAGCAGAGGTTCAGGAGCTCAAAGAAGACATTACAAGGAAGCAGAAAAGTAAGAAACAATTTCATGAAAAATAATTTACAGGGCCAATGAAGTGTAACTAAAGGCAAAACTTTTTTTTTTGTATTTGATGGAGTGAAAAGGGTTCAGGATCCTTGTCAGTTGCTATCACTGTCTGTGCCCCTGTTAGGGAGATTCCTTCTATTTGACCATTATCATCGAAAGTGAAAGTAAAAGACAATCACAGATTGTCGGTTGTCCCCCGAAAAGTAATAGACGGGAAATCTTCCAATGGGGACACTAGTTCTGGTGACCTGGGGGTTCCCAATGGATTGCCTTAACCACTTTCCCGCTGCCCTATAGCAGAAATACTGCTACAGGGTTGCAGGGGGTGAGCAAAATCATATATATATATATATATATATATATATATATATATATATGTGATTTTGCATTTCCAGGTTGTGGGCCGTAATTGGTGTCAATCACCGGGTCCTGACTGGTGATTCCCCGCTGGCACCTGGCGATTGCCGACTATTACCGACGGGGGAGAGACCTGTATGTAAACAGTACAGATCTCTCCCCTGTCAGCTCCTGCATACTGCTTTGTATGGCTCTGCATAGCAGAACCATACAAAGCAGTGTGCTTACATAGTAATGCACAGCACACAGTTAACCCTTTGATTGCCCCATATGTTAACCCCTTCCTGTCCAATGTCATTAGTACAGTGTCAGTGCTTTTTATTAGCACTGATCACTGTATAGGTGTCACTGGGGATGTCAGTGGCAGTTAGTTCCCCCCAGTATCAGAATGCTCCCTGCAGTCCCGCAGTCCCACTATAAGTCGCTGATCGCTGCAATTACTAGAAAAAGAAAAATCCCAGTATACAGTGAGGTCCATAAATATTGGGACATTGACACAATTCTAACATTTTTGGCTCTATACACCACCACAATAGATTTGAAATGAAACGAACAAGATGTGCTTTAACTGCAGACTGTCAGCTTTAATTTGAGGGTATTTACATCCAAATCAGGTGAACGGTGTAGGAATTACAACAGTTTGCATATGTGCCTCCCACTTGTTAAGAGACCAAAAGTAATGGGACAGAATAATAATCATAAATCAAACTTTCACTTTTTAATACTTGGTTGCAAATCCTTTGCAGTCAATTACAGCCTGAAGTGTGGAACGCATAGACATCACCAGACGCTGGGTTTCATCCCTGGTGATGCTCTGCCAGGCCTCTACTGCAACTGTCTTCAGTTCCTGCTTGTTCTTGGGGCATTTTCCCTTCAGTTTTGTCTTCAGCAAGTGAAATGCATGCTCAATCGGATTCAGGTCAGGTGATTGACTTGGCCATTGCATAACATTCCACTTCTTTCCCTTAAAAAAAACTCTTTGGTTGCTTTTGCAGTATGCTTTGGGTCATTGTCCATCTGCACTGTGAAGCGACGTCCAATGAGTTGTGAAGCATTTGGCTGAATATGAGCAGATAATATTGCCCGAAACACTTCAGAATTCATCCTGCTGCTTTTGTCAGCAGTCACATCATCAATAAATACAAGAGAACCAATTCCATTGGCAGCCATACATGCCCACGCCATGACACTACCACCACCATGCTTCACTGATGAGGTGGTATGCTTAGGATCATGAGCAGTTCCTTTCCTTCTCCATACTCTCTCTTCCCATCACTCTGGTACAGTTGATCTTGGTCTCATCTGTCCATAGGATGTTGTTCCAGAACTGTGAAGGCTTTTTTAGATGTCGTTTGGCAAACTCTAATCTGGCCTTCCTGTTTTTGAGGCTCGCCAATGGTTTACATCTTGTGGTGAACCCTCTGTATTCACTCTGGTGAAGTCTTCTCTTGATTGTTGACTTTGACACACATACACCTACCTCCTGGAGAGTGTTCTTGATCTGGCCAACTGTTGTGAAGGGTGTTTTCTTCACCAGGGAACGAATTCTTCGGTCATCCACCACAGTTGTTTTCCGTGGTCTGCCGGGTCTTTTGGTGTTGCTGAGCTCACCGGTGCGTTCCTTCTTTTTAAGAATGTTCCAAACAGTTGTTTTGGCCACGCCTAATGTTTTTGCTATCTCTCTGATGGGTTTGTTTTGTTTTTTCAGCCTAATGATGGCTTGCTTCACTGATAGTGACAGCTCTTTGGATCTCATCTTGAGAGTTGACAGCAACAGATTCCAAATGCAAATAGCACACTTGAAATGAACTCTAGACCTTTTATCTGCTCATTGTAATTGGGATAATGAGGGAATAACACACACCTGGCCATGGAACAGCTGAGAAGCCAATTGTCCCATTACTTTTGCTCACTTAACAAGTGGGAGGCACATATGCAAACTGTTGTAATTCCTACACCGTTCACCTGATTTGGATGTAAATACCCTCAAATTAAAGCTGACAGTCTGCAGGTAAAGCACATCTTGTTCTTTTCATTTCAAATCCATTGTGGTGGTGTATAGAGCCAAAAATGTTAGAATTGTGTTGATGTCCCAATATTTATGGACCTGACTGTATATACCACCATTTGTAGACGCTATAACTTTCACATAAACCAATTCATTTACACGTATTGGGAATTTTTTTCAGCAAAGACATGTAACAAAATACATTTTGTCCTAAATTTATGATGAAATTTGATTTTTTAAATTTTTTTTACTGGACATGTTTAATAGGAAAAAGTAAAAAATACTGTTTTTTTTCTCAAAATTGTCAGTCTTTTTTTTTAGTGCAAAAAAAATTAAACCGCTTAGGTGATCAAATACCACAGAAAGAAAGCTCCATTTCTGGGGGAAAAAAAGGATGTAAATTTAATATGGGTGCAACGTTGCATGACCACACAATTGTCAAAGTAACACAGCACCATATCACAAAAAATGGCCTGGTCAGGAAGGGGGGAAAATTCTCTGGAAGACAAGTGGTTAATTTGCAGGGATTTCCTCTCACTTCATGTTTTAGTTATGGGACAGGAAATTATTATTATACAGGATTTATATAGCGCCAACAGTTTGCTCAGCACTTTACAATATAACGGGAGACAATACAGCAACAATACAAGAGGGTTAGGAGGGCCCTGCTCCTTGGAGCTTACAATCTAAGAGGGAGGGGCTGGTGGTACAAAAGGTAGTAACTGTGGGGGATGAACTGATAGGAAGAATAGAAGATTCCATTATTAGCTGAGGGCAGGATAGGCTTCCTTGAAGAGATAGGTTTTCAGAGATCGCCTAAAAGTGAGCAGAGTAGGTGATAGTCTGATAAATTGGGGTAGAGTTCCAGAGGATGGGGGAAGCTCTGGAGAAGTCCTGGAGACGAGCATGGGAGGAGGAGACAAGGGAACTAGAGAGCAGGAGGTCATGGGAGGAGCAGAGAGTGCGGTTTGGGTGATATTTGGAGACAAGATTGGTGATGTAATTTGGGGCAGATTTATAAATGGCTTTATACGTTATTGTTAATGTTTTCAATTTTATCTGTTCGTGGAGGGATTGGCAGAGAGGGGTGGCAGATACAGAACGGTTAGTAAGGTAGATGAGTCTGGCAGCAGCATTCATGATAGACTGAAGAGGTGATAGCCTGCGATGAGGTAGGCCAATGAGGAGGGAGTTACAGTAGTCAAAGCGTAATATGACAAAGGAGTGGATAAGTTGCTTAGTGGTTTCCAAGGTTAAGAACGGGCGAATCTTGGAGATGTTGCAGAGGTGAAGTCTACAAGATTTGGACAGTTATTGGATTTGGGGCTGAAAGGACAGATGGGAGTCTAGGATGACACCTAGTACCCTGGCATGAGGGGAGGGACTGATGGTTGTATTATTGATCTTGATGGAGAAGTCAGAGGAGGGGCACAGGCTGGAGGGAATAGTATGAGCTCAGTTTTGGAAAGATTGTGTTTGATGAAGTGGAGTGACATCCATGCTGATGTGAAGTGAAGGGAAATCTCCGCTGTGGGACACAGAAGAAAAAAACCTGACAGCTTTGCCTTTATTTACACTTTAAAGTATAACTAAAGGCAGAACTGTTTTGTTTTTTAGTTTTGGACAGAGTGGAGAGGGATCAGGACCCGTCAGGTGTTATTGCCGTCTGTGCCCCCATTAGGGAGACTCACCCTCTATATTTGTCCTGTTCTACCATTATCATTTTGTGTTGTCCCCAGAAAAGTCATAGAGGCAAAATCTTCCAATGTGGACACTGGGAGACTGGGGGGGGAACAAATAATTGCCTCAATTCACTTGGATTTCCTCTCACTTTCTATTTGGCTACAGGACAGGAAGTGAAGGGAACTCTCCGCAATGGGACACGGATGGTGAAATAAAATATGACTGGGGGCATAACCTTGCCTTACTATATCCAAAATAGAAAAAACCTGTTGCCCCCAGTTCCACTTTCTGTTTCAATATTTTTATTAAGAAAGTTTTGTTTTTAAGAATATAACAAGCTCAAAATACGCCCTCACAGGAAGCAGGACAATAACACCCCTAGTTCCACTTTAAGCAGTGGCTGTGTATGGGAGATTTGTGGCTATTACTGTCACTTTACCTTTATTAGTTCTCTATAGATATAAGTCATTGCTCCCCCACATTACATACACCCCATGGTCTACTTCCCCTGAGCTCTACACCAGGCAACACAACACAGCAATTCATTCACTTATACTCAGAGAACTACATTTCCCAGCATCCTCTGTGCTCCTGGGTGGGCGGGACACTTCCTGTGTGTACAGGGGACAGCCAGGTCGGCTCCAGGGTCAGTATGCAGGCAGCTAGAGCCATGGCAAGTGAGTAGTGCGAGTCCTGTACAGAGCTCATCCCTTCCCCCTGACATTGCTGGGCTGCAGTGTGTGTGGACGGCTGTTCTCCTCCTTTCATGATTTGTTCACCTGCAGCTGCTCTACATTTTATTCCAACTCACTTCTACATGATAGATGTACACACGGCTACTGCATGGGGACAACAGCTGTGTACTGTATATATAAATGTGCATGTTCTATGTCAGCGCTTCTCAACCTGTGGGTCGCGGTCCCTTTGGGGGTCGAACAACCCTTTCACAGGGGTCTCCTAAGACCATCGGAAAACACATATTTCTGATGGTCTTAGGAACCGAGACACCGCTCCTCTGTCAGTCTCCAGGCGGGTCCGCCCACATGCAGATACGTCCACATTTCCCTGGACCGCGATGTGTGTGCGGGATGACATGTTGCCCCTGTCATCTGGCCAAATCCCCGGGATCACTCAACAGCTCCGCCTCCTCGCCAGTGATTGGCCACTGGAACTGTAGCTCAGGACAGGCACACAGGCAGCCAATCACCGGTGAGGAGGTGGAGCTTGGAGAGGAGGAGCCGAGAGCAGCAGCGCGAAGATCAAAGAAGATCGAGCGAGGGAGCGGCCGGAGAAGGAAGACAGCTGACAGGTAAGTGTCTGTAGCGTGCAGATGGTGCTGCTGCAGCCAGGTATGCTGGCTGTAGATGGGAGAGGGAGGGAGCGAGCCCAGGCTGGAGCAGGGGTCAGCAAGGTAAGTATCATTGGTGTCAGTGGGAGGAATAGTGCCCCATCATTGGTGTCACTAATATCAATGATGGGCACTATACCTCCCACTGACACCAATGATGGGGCACTATTTCCCCCCCCCCCCCCCCGACACCACCGATGGGGAACTGTTCCTCCCCCCCCTGACACCACCGATGGGGCACTATTCCTCCACCCTGACACCAACGATGGGGCACTATCCCCCCCCACTGACACCAATGATGGGGCATAATTCCCCCCCACACTAGTACCAATGATGGGGCACTATCCCCCCCTCCCCCGACACCAATGATGGGGCACTATTCCTCCCACACTGACACCAATGATGGGGCACTATTCCACCCACACTGACACCAATGATGGGGCACTATTCCTCCCACAATGACACCAATGACGGGGCATTCCTCCCACAATGACACCAATGACGGGGCACTATTCCTCCCACAATGACACCAATGACGGGGCACTATTCCTCCCACAATGACACCAATGACGGGGCACTATTCCTCCCACAATGACACCAATGACGGGGCACTATTCCTCCCACAATGACACCAATGACGGGGCACTATTCCTCCCACTGATACCAATGATGGGGCACTATTCCTCCCACTGATACCAACGAGGGGACACTATTCCTCCCACTGACACCAGTGATGTGGCACTACTCCTCTCACTGACACCTGGCACTACTACTCCTCACTGACACCAATGTTGTGGCACTACTCCTCTCACTGACACCAATGTTGTGGCACTACTCCTCTCACTGACACCAATGTTGTGGCACTACTCCTCTCACTGACACCAATGTTGTGGCACTACTCCTCTCACTGCAAAATTACAGTTATGAAGTAGCAACGAAAATAATTTTATGGTTGGGGGTCACCACAACATGAGGAACTGTATTAAAGGGTCGCGGCATTAGGAAGGTTGAGAACCACTGTTCTATGTCTACACAGAGGAAGGCACAGGAAGAGTCCTGACATCTTTAACCACTTACCCTCCTGAGGAATTACCCCTCCCTTCCTGACCAGGCCATTTTTTTTTGTGTTAAGGCTCTGCGTTATTTTAACTGACAATTGCGCGGTCATGCAACGCTGCACTCAAATGAAATTTACGACCGGTTTTCCCACAAATTGACCTTTCTTTTGGTGGTAATTGATCGCCTGTGCTTTTTTATTTTTGCACTATAAAAAAATGACAATTTTTAGACAATAACAGTATTTTTGACTTTTTGCTATTATACGTGTCTAGTAAAAAACATTTCATCATAAATTTACGCTAAAATGTATTCTGCTACATGTCTTTGCTAAAAAAAAATCCAAATACGTGTGAATTAATTGGTTTACGTGAAAGTTATAGCATTTACAAATGGCGGTATATATGCTGGAATTTTTTTTTACATTTTATTAGTAATGACGGCGATCAGCGACTTATAGCGTGACTACGGTGGGCATTCTAACACTGGGGGGGAACTGACTTGGTGTCACTGACATCCCCAGTGACACCAATACAGTGATCATTGCTAAAAAAAAAAAGTACTGACACTGTACTAATGGCACTGGGCAGGAAGGGGTTAACATGAGGGGCAAAGGGTTAACTGTGTGCTGGGGGGTGTTTTACTAGGGAGCTTTATCAGTGTGCTTTACTGTAATCACACTGCTCTGGATGGCTGCACAGAGCAGTGTGCCCCAGATGACAGGATGGAGAATTGTTAGTGAACAAAACAGTCCTCCTCCCCATTGGAGATGTTTGGAAGTCACCTGGTGCCGACAAGTAATTACCGGCCGGGACCCGATGATTGACAGCCGCGAATGGCGGTGCGGGCCATCTTCCTGGGAATGCAAAATCACGTATATTCCCGTAGATTTTGCGCGCACCGTGCCGCACTGTAGCAGTATTTCTGCTGTAAGGCGGATGGGAAGTGGTTAAAGTGTTATGGAACCCAGGACCCTGCATTCACTATATCTGGTCTCCCACAGTATTATTATTATTATACAGGATTTATATAGCGCCAACAGTTTGTGCAGCACTTTACAACATGAAGATAGACATTACAGTTACAAAACAATTTGGTACCAGAGGAAACAGAGGGCCCTGATCGTTAGAGCTTACAATCTAGGAGTACAGTACACACAACATGGAAATTGAATTATTTTAGTAAATATAAACTGCTAAATACCTTTTCTCATCATCATTACGTAGTAGTCTTGTGACTTTTATCAGTGTACTGCTGAGCACTGGTTGAAGCTTGGAGGAGGAGTTTTCATTCTTGCCTGACTGTCCTATGAGGCTGCATAACCCTGACCCTCTGTCTGGACAGCGCTGATTGACTCTGTGCTGATCACATGCACCCTCCCAAAGAAAAAAAAAAACCTCTAGCCATACACACCGAACTGAGCATGTGCAGAGTAACTCCTAGAGCTCTGTACTATCAGCAGATGGATTGGGTATAGTAAAAGAAAGGGGAGGATCAGAGAAGACAGGGTCAAACAGCCTTTTTACACAGTGTGGAGTATTAACCCCTTGGGTTCCACAGTGCGTATAACAAGCATGCTTTACTGCATATACAGACTGATTTTACTGTTGTGGGCTTAGTAACACTTTAATAATTTCCAGGGACAGAGCTTTATGGTTCAGTATTTTGATGACAGATAGTGTATATATTATTTATTACAGAATATCTGGTGACATTATTCACTGATTAACAATAGGGGAAATCTTCAAGGACACTGATTGCCAGGGACAAACCTTTTTCAGACTGTCCTTAGGACACTATTGGGCAGAGGTGGAGCACTTAGAATGTTATAAATACTGTCAGAGACCAGGAACATGCAACAGGAGACTGTCAGGAACTGGGAACATGCAACAGGAGACTGTCAGGAACTGGGAACATGCAACAGGAGACTGTCAGGAACTGGGAACATGCAACAGGAGACTGTCAGGAACTGGGAACATGCAACAGGAGACTGTCAGGAACTGGGAACATGCAACAGGAGACTGTCAGGAACTGGGAACATGCAACAGGAGACTGTCAGGAACTGGGAACATGCAACAGGAGACTGTCAGGAACTGGGAACATGCAACAGGAGACTGTCAGGAACTGGGAACATGCAACAGGAGACTGTCAGGAACTGGGAACATGCAACAGGAGACTGTCAGGAACTGGGAACATGCAACAGGAGACTGTCAGGAACTGGGAACATGCAACAGGAGACTGTCAGGAACTGGGAACATGCAACAGGAGACTGTCAGGAACTGGGAACATGCAACAGGAGACTGTCAGGAACTGGGAACATGCAACAGGAGACTGTCAGGAACTGGGAACATGCAACAGGAGACTGTCAGGAACTGGGAACATGCAACAGGAGACTGTCAGGAACTGGGAACATGCAACAGGAGACTGTCAGGAACTGGGAACATGCAACAGGAGACTGTCAGGAACTGGGAGACTGGGAACATGCAACAGGAGACTGTCAGGAACTGGGAACATGCAACAGGAGACTGTCAGGAACTGGGAACATGCAACAGGAGACTGTCAGGAACTGGGAACATGCAACAGGAGACTGTCAGGAACTGGGAACATGCAACAGGAGACTGTCAGGAACTGGGAACATGCAACAGGAGACTGTCAGGAACTGGGAACATGCAACAGGAGACTGTCAGGAACTGGGAACATGCAACAGGAGACTGTCAGGAACTGGGAACATGCAAACAGGAGACTGTCAGGAACTGGGAACATGCAACAGGAGACTGTCAGGAACTGGGAACATGCAACAGGAGACTGTCAGGAACTGGGAACATGCAACAGACTGGGTGCAACAGGAGACTGTCTGTTACTGGGAACATGCAACAGGAGACTGTCTGTTACTGGGAACATGCAACAGGAGACTGTCTGTTACTGGGAACATGCAACAGGAGACTGTCTGTTACTGGGAACATGCTACAGGAGACTGTCAGGAACTGGGAACATGCAACAGGAGACTGTCAGGAACTGGGAACATGCAACAGGAGACTGTCAGGAACTGGGAACATGCAACAGGAGACTGTCAGGAACTGGGAACATGCAACAGGAGACTGTCAGGAACTGGGAACATGCAACAGGAGACTGTCAGGAACTGGGAACATGCAACAGGAGACTGTCAGGAACTGGGAACATGCAACAGGAGACTGTCAGGAACTGGGAACATGCAACAGGAGACTGTCAGGAACTGGGAACATGCAACAGGAGACTGTCAGGAACTGGGAACATGCAACAGGAGACTGTCAGGAACTGGGAACATGCAACAGGAGACTGTCAGGAACTGGGAACATGCAACAGGAGACTGTCAGGAACTGGGAACATGCAACAGGAGACTGTCAGGAACTGGGAACATGCAACAGGAGACTGTCAGGAACTGGGAACATGCAACAGGAGACTGTCAGGAACTGGGAACATGCAACAGGAGACTGTCAGGAACTGGGAACATGCAACAGACTGTCTGTTACTGGGAACATGCAACAGGAGACTGTCTGTTACTGGGAACATGCAACAGGAGACTGTCTGTTACTGGGAACATGCAACAGGAGACTGTCAGGAACTGGGAACATGCTACAGGAGACTGTCAGGAACTGGGAACATGCAACAGGAGACTGTCAGGAACTGGGAACATGCAACAGGAGACTGTCAGGAACTGGGAACATGCAACAGACTGTCTGTTACTGGGAACATGCAACAGGAGACTGTCTGTTACTGGGAACATGCAACAGGAGACTGTCTGTTACTGGGAACATGCAACAGGAGACTGTCAGGAACTGGGAACATGCTACAGGAGACTGTCAGGAACTGGGAACATGCAACAGGAGACTGTCAGGAACTGGGAACATGCAACAGGAGACTGTCAGGAACTGGGAACATGCAACAGGAGACTGTCAGGAACTGGGAACATGCAACAGGAGACTGTCAGGGACTGGGAACATGCTACAGGAGACTGTCAGGAACTGGGAACATGCAACAGGAGACTGTCAGGAAC